TCAAAAAGATTAATATCAATGTACACAAGTCACTTATTTCAGTTCTTTATAAATTCTGGGGTAGCCCTATCCTACTTGTACACTTTGAACCTACATGTAACCAAATCTCTTTTTTATGATACCATTCGGCTACTTCTATAAATTTTCAATGAATTTGGTTAGCCTATTGCTATTGTTTCAGCTTTCAGATGGTGCATTAAAACCTTTGACATTACTTTGCTTGAGCTGCGTTGCAAGTATTACTTTGATTTTGTTCTACAGAGTTGTTTGCTTGTGAAGATATGATTAAAGCAACATCGTTAGCTCCCCGTTATATGGAAAGAGATAACAATACGTTATTTATGAGGTATATAAGATCGTCATATACATATTGAAGAAAATCAATACGCGAACCCGTATCCAACACATTAGCAAATTGTCATAGCACTCGTTGTTATAATTTAAAATTAACTATTGATGAAATTATACTATTTCATATAAACATACTGACAGAGATTTCAGAAAATATACAAATAACTATTTTACGGTGAAAAGGATACACCTAACAGGTACTAGCAGCGTTTTACGGATGGGTGTTGTCATAATACAGCAGTATCTCGCAGTCTGTCTGTCTATGGAATGGAATATATTATATCAAATGAGATGTATCCCGTATTACTTGTACCTCAACTGTCGCAAGGAATACAAGTAAAAGGGACAATATTAATGAACGAATATAAAATTGCATATGTTGCATATGTATTGACTAGCCCCAATGTGCGAATTTAACTTCAGTATTTCTTTTCTTAGTACTTATAATGTTCACGTACATGAAGGAGTTTTTTCTATCCCTGTTATGGTATTCAACGTGTCTACCGTCCCATTGAGCTATCAAGAATGTCGTGTCGCATGCAGTAAATCGTTTTAAAAGGCGATTTAGAGAGATGCTCGGGTATCTTTCTCATAACAATCCCATTTAACCCTTCTATGAATCATACTTTAAACAAAAAAGCATTAACCCACAACAAAATGTGCAATTTTTACCGTTTGATATTTTGAAAAATTTTATGTTTGAAAAAAAGGCGGCGCGAAGATTACTGGAACATGAATTTTTATAAGAATCTAGTAGTTCGACTTTCATTGCCGCAAGTTTTTTATTGAATTTTATAAAGGTCATCATGCTAGAACATAGCATTATGGGTGAATTTTACGCTTAACTTGTATAAATTAGTTCTTTTGAAGGTGCAAAAATACAAATTCCCCTCCATTTTCCACAATTTTCGCTCATAAAGTCCTGAGGTCAATTACTCAGATGCGAGTAGGTAGTTACCATTTTCCCCACCAGGTGGCTAATTCGGGGGAAATAACGTGGCAGGGTATTACAAAATTCCCTTAAACTTGAATATTCATAAGTTTTAGTGGTTCATATTTTATATTATCCTTATGTATCTGATAGTTGTACAAATTAAAATATGTCCATTAAAAGAAAATATTATCTGCCCAACACAAGAAAGGACATTTCACTTTTTGTGATTTTACAACATGGGGTCTATGGGGAATCACCCCGACCTAAAAGTCACATTTTCAAAGAAAATTAAATTTCTAAAGTTCATAAACTCTTTTCAAAACCACATTTTTGATGTAATTTTACATGAAGATTCCAAATGCGACATCAGTTTGACTGAATTTTGAATTTTTAATGACGAAAATCAAGATTATTTCTACTCGCATCTAGCTAATTAGTCTCTAACTCAACAGGAGCAAAAACAACATTTTCAATCAGATGGTGTCATGTTGTTAGGAAATGATTTATCTTTAAAATCACATACTTTATGATACATGGCATGGTTTAACATATATAATCTTTTTACTTATGTATTGTTTTTGGCCCACCCTGTATAGACCTTTGTGAGTTTCCGACTGTGAGTTGCACCATACTCAGTGTATTCCTTCAGTCATACCTTGATTTATCAAGATGGAGTTGCACAATATTTGCGATGTTTTGTAAATTGATTTTGATATGGGAATAAATATGAGACACGATCATGATACAACTAGATAATTGTCACATCATTGAACTTGTCACCTTTCAAAAATAGCAAATGACGTGACAAGGAATGGCATCATTTTCCCTATGTCACGAAAAGATCATTTGTGCCTACTATTACGTAGGTGTGTTATTCTGTAAGCATGCTAAAAGAAGATCCATCCTACCGCCACTTCATTATTACATAAAACGATATAAAACTAGATAAGTTTATTTTGTACAATTTAAAAGATTTATTCATCTTTAATAACAGTTTTTATATTTTACAGTGAACTGCACTTAATAATTTTGACACCATACATTTATTTACAATTTTTAAAGAATTAATAAGCAAAACAGTCTCATCTATGTTAAAGAAAATAATCAAGGCTACATACACTCGCTTTCAAAAGTTGGCAACTCTAACTTCCGACCATTTGACGGTGTGCATGTATCAAAGCTTGTTCATATCTGCCTATTTTTTAAACGACATCAAAGTCATAATTTCCCAAGCAATTGTATAACCGACGCTGAACTGGCGTAAACACCTACATTTGAATCAGAGTTGCGAACTTTTGAAGGGCTTGTAACATGTTAAGTATTATTAATCAGTATTACGGTCTCTACATCATCAACATGTTCTCTTGGCAATAATATGGTATTTTCTACATAATTCGAACTTAACCAAAATTTTAATTAGGATCTTTTGACTCAGCGGATTGTATGAGATGTCTATATGCAGATATGCAGTAGGGTAAATATAAAATATAGATTAATATGCCATTTTGAGAGAAATCGAGGGATTTAAGGTCGGATATCATAAGTGAATAAAATTCAAATACACCTTCTATAAATGGCTACCGTCATCCCACTACGGTCTGGGTTCAGCCAATGAAATTCAACACAATTATGAAAATAATAAATAAATAAACATTAATCTAAAAATAAATATGTGTGATGGAACATTATATAAAATATGTTTAAACACGTAGAGAGATTAATGTATACCTCTCTATAATAAATATTTAAGGTGGGTCTTTTAGAATGAATGTTCTGATAATTTTACATGTAGGTTTGCAAAATATCATTCTACAGTTCCCACCTTAAGTCATATTAATATGCGGATGCAGCAGCGTTCCACTGACACTCACGTCATGCATTATTCATTTTTATTTTAATACAAGCATCATGAACAGCTAATCCTGAACTATTTTAGTTTAATTTGAATGACGTCAACGGTATCAGATTTATTAGAAAAGTAAAACCTGTGTTTAGTGAACACATTCGGAGATACGAAAAGTGTTCACCGTAGAAAGGTGTTCACGACGACGGTGAGCATTTTATAAAGACGTCAGTGAAGTTTGTTCTTGGAATTGGTGTCCACTAAGCCAGGTTTTACTGTACATATATTTCACCAGTATAAGTCAACCATTCATTGAGTCATGAACGGCTTTAATTTATAATTTAGTAGAAGTACAATTTAAAATACTTCACTTGATACGATTATTAGTTGACTATCTTTGGTTATTTATGTTTTATTTTATATCAAAATCATAAAATACACAACTTGTTCACATGACGATGGTTTTTCCATCAGCTCACTTCTCAGCTCATTTCATACACATTTGCACGGCCGATCGTGTAACAAGAAGGATGAATTTCCACTTCATTCTCAACGTACACGTAACAAAGCATTCCTTCAAGTTTGCAATTGTTGAGCTATCATATTCGAAAATAAACATGTTCTAATCAGAGGACATTTACATCATATTTCTTGCATAATTGACCGACCGTGTAACCAAGTATGTAACATAGTGTGAACAGTTTGACAAAGGGACGAGGCGAACAAAACACAAATATAACGTAAGAATGTTAATAACATGCATGCTTATATAAATTGTGTAAATGATATATTATAAATATCCCAGACCTAAATAAAATATGTAAAATATCACAGTTTGATATTTCAAACAAAATAGGAAGATGAACGACATATTATTTGGCAATGCATATTATTTGGCAACATGAAGTTTAATCCGATTTCACTATTTCCCATTTCTAATCTAATAATGAGGTATTTGATTAATTAGAATGTTTGCACATGTTATGCATTAACTAACATTTAGTTAGCGCTTGAATCTTATACTGAATTATAACTGTGCATTAGCATAACAATCTTCAACTGAAACCTTTTGAATCAAGATGTAGTATAACGCAATCCACATAAATTTAAAAATATGTTGCCTAGTGCACTCGCAGTCTTTACTAATCTGACTGATTCTCCTGATATTACACGTTGATTTGCTTTGGCTTATATGATTTATTCACCTAATATGATAGGCTATTACCACAACAACTGAAATCAACTGTTGTTTGTCGAGAATAAAAACTACACTCCCCTTCATAAGTTTGGCAACCTAGAGTTTTCATGGGGTATCATATCAAAATATGTCGATGTTTGGATCTTAATTTTATGTCTTGATTCTTAAAGTTCTGAAAATGACAGATTTGATGATTTTTAATAAGCAAACATAAGCAGTCAGTGGTTAGTCTGTGATATGTGTTTCAAAGGGAGACATTCATTTGCTAAATTTATGGAGGGCAGTGTAACTAGCAATCTGACTGGCTTGCTTTGCAGTTTCACTAAGGACATGAATCTGATAGATCACATATTTATAGGATATTATATTGGTTTACAAATGTCTCCGTGGATGCCTTTTGTGGAGTACGTAACATAAGACATCATCTACATTACCATGGACTTATATGATGGTTATTGGCAGGAGGTCCCCGGGTACCATGTAAAAAACGGCACAATTCTGATTTATCAGACTTTCTCTTTATCTAGAGCTTGTGAGGTATAGTAGAGACTGTGGATCCCACACTGAGTATAGTCATTGAATCAAACTATGGTTAGCAGGTAGAGATGGGAGTAAATTAAATGTAAAAAAAAGTCATATACTCTCGATTCCTGATCTGAATACAAATACGATTTTGACCACTCAGAAGCGGGCAAGCGGCATATCGGATGCTGAGTAGGATGATGCTAATCATGTTGTAAGTCTTCAACAAACCGTACTAATTAACAACTCAATTTGAGTGATAATCAGTCTCAGACTACCTATTTTAAGAATTCACCCAAACGTGACACTCCTCTTAACAAACATATATAATTGGAAAATTGCACGATTATTATCCTATCTGCCACGTCCATACAAAACCTTATCCCGCAATTAGGGATTCGTCAGCTGTTCTTGGGAATGTAACTACGGATAACATCACTCATTTAATCAAAGAACATTTACATTGATCAACATATATTGTGATGATGCTCCAAATTGGAGATAAAAACAAGTACTTGTAAAGAAAACAAACAGTGAATAATGATTCTTCTAAATTAACTAGTCAGCATTTGCAATTGGCTCAAGTTGCGTTTTCTGCAGTTTGAATGCTCTTTCAAGAACAGCTACTCGACGTTTGAGTTTATTTTCAGTGGCTTTATAATCACCGATGAGTCTGGAGAATTGTCTCTGCATTACGTCGAATCTTGCTTCAAGTTCACCCAATTGCTCAGTTGCCAATTCCTTTCGTTGGCTCTCCTTGACTTCAGCTTCGGGATCAATAAGATTGTGTTTCATCAGAATGTTCCGTCCATTCTCTATAAGTTTAGCCTTTGCATCCGGGTATTCTTTAAGTGTATCCCAGAGGTCCTGCTTAGATAACACAAAAAGGTCTGAGTACCCTTGGCTACGGACATTAGCTGTCCTCCTATTACCTGACTTTGCTCCAACAATGTTTAGAACACTTACTTCACCAAATACACTTCCCTCTTGTAGGGATGCTAAAACTGAGCTTCCATCATCACCGACAACGGTGAGCCTTCCACGTTTCACAATATACATCTCCCTTCCAATATCTCCTTTTCTACATATATAATCCCCTGGACTATAGACACTGAGTTTAAGTTTAAGGACGAGCTCGACCAGTAAGCCAGGATCGCAGTCTTGGAATATGCTCACTCTTTTCAAAGTGTCTAAATGAATATGAATCGCTAGTTCAGCCCTAAGAGTGTCAGGTAAAGCGGAGAGTATGGCCTCTTCGTTCAATGTCTGTTTATTACTCCATAGATAATCAAACCACTTGATTACTCGTTTTTCTAGATCTGGGTCTACTTTACGTACATCCATATATTGCTTGACACTGTCTAGTTTACGCTGAAAATCCGCCCTGGCCTCGTTGAGGTTGGTAATCATAGATCCGACGTTTCCAACAATTGAAGCAAATATCAAGACCCCGATGAGATAGTCGAACACAACAAACAAGAACTGAATATCCTGTTCTGGGTGCGGGGTTTCACCTATAGTAAGCAGTGTCAAACTGGACCAATAAAATGAATAGATATACATCCTTGATAAAGATCTGTTAATTGGGTCAGAGATATTAGGATACACCCATTTGTCAACGCCAAATCCCATTTGGTTGCTTATGGCAAAATATATACACGCATTCCAGTGAACGATGATTACTATATAGAACACAAGGTTAAAAACCCTGAAGAGATTAGGAAAATTTGTTCTTCGGAGAGTTCTATCAAAGAACTCAAGGAGTCTAGTAAATTTGATAAGTCGGTTAAATCGTAATTCTGGTGTATTAACTCCAGTCCAAATATATCCAATTTCGAATGGGATTATACTGATGATATCCAGTTTAAACGTCCAGGTTTTTGTATAGTGTTTTGCAAGTTTTTTAAAGTCTGTCACCATAAGGCCATGCTCCAAATAACCTGGAAATAAAAAATATAGTTCTGATAGCGTCATAGGATACAATTGAGGCCAGGAATTACTAATAATTAGCAGTGTGCATACCTGTATAATGTACATATACTGTAAAACGTGTGTATATTCAACATTTTTGCGGTAAAAAGTTCAGTGTTGGTAGATGTTCACTACAGAGAGGGTAATCTTTGTAAAAGTCAATGGAGTATGTGTGGAGGAAGGATGTCCACTAGAGACAGACTAGCTAGAGAGAAGTGTTCATTTAGACAGGTTTTACTTTATACACACATATACTCAATTCCGAATGTGCTATGGGGTATCTCTATTGGTTACAAGAGACAAATATGGCATTTTGTTTAGTTTCATATTATTCCCATGATTTGAGTTGATACGCTTTCTCGCTGCAATTATTTCTGATAATGTTTCTATTGTTTCCTTAATCTTGTTTACCTTGACCTCACAAGGTCGATGCTTTCGCGGGTTCACTGTGCATCCTGTTCAAGAAGGATTGGAAGCCGTTATTCAAACTCGATCATCCGTTGCCTGGGGATGATCAATTTGGTAACAATAATTCATATTTAGAAGACTAGAACTGCAAATGAAGCTTGAACCCTACCATAATATTCGCGATGTCCATCTTTCAACGAAATACTTGGTCCAAGAGAACCTTAGAGAAATATTTTTACTAAATTGTTCCAGGCCAGGCAATGAAAGTAGTATAGGCTGCAACTTTCGACCTACAACCGGCACCGGCACTGTTCCACTTCCACGTTCCACTTCCACCGGAAGTGACGTCATAGGTCACACGTTACAGTTCCACCGGAAGTGAGGTCATGTGATAACATGGTGCACTTGGAGTGACATAACTGGTGAAAGGTTTCTGATAACTGATAATATAATCAAACAAACACTGTTAAGGTAACCTGGTGACTATGTGATAAGCTATCTGTCTACTTCATGGGTGTTTCATTGTTACAGATCAAAGGTGGATAATAAACTGATAAGACAGTGAAAAAGATTGCCAAAGGTTACTGATAATTGATAAGAGAGAGATAATAAACTGATAAGACAGTGAAAAGATAACTACCATGGTTTCTGATATAACTGGACAAAGGTTATATTGATAAAAGAACATAGGTTTGAGTTGAATGCACAGAAATGATGTCATAGGTCACATGGTTACTGATATAACTGGTCAAAGGTTACTGATAATTGATAAGAGAGAGATAATAAACTAATAAGACAGTGAAAAAGATAGCCAAAGGTTACTGATAATTGATAAGAGAGAGATAATAAACTGATAAGACAGTGAAAAGATAACTACCATGGTTTCTGATATAACTGGACAAAGGTTATATTGATAAAAGAACATAGGTTTGAGTTGAATGCACAGAAATGATGTCATACGTCACATGGTTACTGATATAACTGGTCAAAGGTTTCTGATAACTGATAAGAGAGAGCTCAATTGATAAGATAATCAAACAAACACTGTTAAGGTAACCTGGTGACTATGTGATAAGCTATCTTGTCTACTTCATGGATGTTTCATTGTTATAGGCCAAAGGTGGATAATAAACTGATAAAACAGTAAAAAAGATAACTGCAGAACCATTTCAACCAAACACGTTTTAACTTGCAGAATTATTTTAACCAATCAGAGTACAGTATGTTTTAACCAATCAGGTTTTGAGATGCAGAATTGTTTTACCCAATAAGGAACAGAATGTTTGGATTCTTTTAACCAATCACAGTACAGTATGTTTTAACCAATCAGGTTTCGAGATGCAGAATCATTTTAACCAATAAGGGGACAGTATGTTTGGATTATTTTAACCAATCGAGGTACAGGCAAGTGCAGGCTTCCACTGTCACTGACATGACTGGACAAAGGTTACTGATAATCGTTAAGAGAGTGGTCAACTTATAAGATAATCCCAGCTCAGTGAAAACATTGACATACAATGCTAATTGCTATGCTTCATGCTATGCTATATGTTATGCAACATGCTATGCTAAATGCTATTCTAATGCTATGCTATTCTACATGCTATGTTACATGCTATGCTACATGTTACATGCTGTACAATGCTACTTGTTATGCTGGTTATGCCACATGCTATGCTATGCTACATGCTATGCTATGCTACATGCTATGCTATGCTACATGCTATGCTATGCTACATGCTATGCTATGCTACATGCTATGCTATGCTACATGCTATGCTATGCTACATGCTATGTTATGCAACATGCTATGCTATGCTACATGCTATGCTATGCTACATGCTATGCTATGCTACATGTGAAATGCTATACTATGCTACATGCTATGCTATGCTATGCTACATGTGAAATGCTATACTATGCTACATGCTATGCTATGCTACATGCTATGCTATGCTATGCTACATACTATGATATGCTACATGCTATGTTATGCTTCATACTATGCTATGCTACATCCGTTTACTGAGAGATTGACATTGCTTAGGTCCGGTCAAAGGTTACTGATAATTGATTAAGAGAGAAGTCTACTGATAAGATAACCAAACCAACACTTTAAGATAACTTGGTGTCTAAGTAATCTGTAGAACAAACCTTTGACATATGATATCACTGGTTAATGATAACTGATAAGAGAAAAGTAGAGAGTGTAAGTGTACATCATTAATATTATTGAGAACAACAACACAATAAATATATTAAAATAAACATTTAGAAGGTTGATGTGGGGATCAAACCCAGGACCTTTTGCTCCTAAAACAAGCATCATACCACTAGAACAATCAACCATAGATATGGAGAGAAGATTTTATTATACTTCATGGCAATCATAAAAAGTATAGCATGTTTTGAATCAGATATTATGTTATGGTCAGGAAAACAATAACTGCAGAACTATTTTAAACAATCGGGGTACAGTATGTTTCCATCCAGTCAGATATAAGAAAATCACCCAGTAGGAGAATTTTTGCAACATTACAAGTTCCGGCTGGTATTGAAGTTTTATAACCAACAAGCCTCCTGAGTCATTTTAGAATAATCTTTAAAGTGTCACGTTTGAGCGATTTCAGTCACTGTTGGTCGCTTTCTGCTAATTTTTGGAGTTTGAATCTTTTGTTGTTCGATGTATGTAAATAATTCCTCTCAGTTGAATTTGCAAACAGAACCTAGGTCATTGCTACATGCTGCTACAAAGGTAGATTAACCAGTTATTTTGGACAGCGACCAAGTGTGAAGCGAAAACTGGCAGCTAACTGGAAGCCCAGCGGGTACTATTTATGTTTACATGAGTTTTCCATCCAATTGTAATCAACCCCTCAAATGTCTAAAAATCATGTAAGTGTACTTTTTTTAGAATCTTTTTTGGAATATTTTCGACCAATCAAAGTGTATATGCAAATGAGCTGCAGAACCATTTCAATCAATCAGATCAGATTATTGCACTCTTTGACCCCGCCACCGCCGCCACCTCCACCGCCGCCGCCGCCGCCGCCACCTCCACCACCGCCGCCGCCGCCGCCACCTCCACCACCGCCGCCACCTCCATTGCCGCCGCCACCTTATTTAAATATGAATATCACCTGCCATTAAAGGCACAACGGGTGGCGGCGGTGGCGGCGGTGGCGGTGGCGGCGGCGGTGGCGGCGGCGGCGGTGGCGGCGGCGGCGGCGGTGGTGGAGGTGGCGGCGGCGGCGGTGGTGGTGGAGGTGGCGGCGGTGGCGGGGTCAAAGAGTGCAATAATCTGATCTGATTGATTGAAATGGTTCTGCAGCTCATTTGCATATACACTTTGATTGGTCGAAAATATTCCAAAAAAGATTCTAAAAAAAGTACACTTACATGATTTTTAGACATTTGAGGGGTTGATTACAATTGGATGGAAAACTCATGTAAACATAAATAGTACCCGCTGGGCTTCCAGTTAGCTGCCAGTTTTCGCTTCACACTTGGTCGCTGTCCAAAATAACTGGTTAATCTACCTTTGTAGCAGCATGTAGCAATGACCTAGGTTCTGTTTGCAAATTCAACTGAGAGGAATTATTTACATACATCGAACAACAAAAGATTCAAACTCCAAAAATTAGCAGAAAGCGACCAACAGTGACTGAAATCGCTCAAACGTGACACTTTAAAGATTATTCTAAAATGACTCAGGAGGCTTGTTGGTTATAAAACTTCAATACCAGCCGGAACTTGTAATGTTGCAAAAATTCTCCTACTGGGTGATTTTCTTATATCTGACTGGATGGAAACATACTGTACCCCGATTGTTTAAAATAGTTCTGCAGTTATTGTTTTCCTGACCATAACATAATATCTGATTCAAAACATGCTATACTTTTTATGATTGCCATGAAGTATAATAAAATCTTCTCTCCATATCTATGGTTGATTGTTCTAGTGGTATGATGCTTGTTTTAGGAGCAAAAGGTCCTGGGTTTGATCCCCACATCAACCTTCTAAATGTTTATTTTAATATATTTATTGTGTTGTTGTTCTCAATAATATTAATGATGTACACTTACACTCTCTACTTTTCTCTTATCAGTTATCATTAACCAGTGATATCATATGTCAAAGGTTTGTTCTACAGATTACTTAGACACCAAGTTATCTTAAAGTGTTGGTTTGGTTATCTTATCAGTAGACTTCTCTCTTAATCAATTATCAGTAACCTTTGACCGGACCTAAGCAATGTCAATCTCTCAGTAAACGGATGTAGCATAGCATAGTATGAAGCATAACATAGCATGTAGCATATCATAGTATGTAGCATAGCATAGCATAGCATGTAGCATAGCATAGCATGTAGCATAGTATAGCATTTCACATGTAGCATAGCATAGCATAGCATGTAGCATAGTATAGCATTTCACATGTAGCATAGCATAGCATGTAGCATAGCATAGCATGTAGCATAGCATAGCATGTTGCATAACATAGCATGTAGCATAGCATAGCATGTAGCATAGCATAGCATGTAGCATAGCATAGCATGTAGCATAGCATAGCATGTAGCATAGCATAGCATGTAGCATAGCATAGCATGTAGCATAGCATAGCATGTGGCATAACCAGCATAACAAGTAGCATTGTACAGCATGTAACATGTAGCATAGCATGTAACATAGCATGTAGAATAGCATAGCATTAGAATAGCATTTAGCATAGCATGTTGCATAACATATAGCATAGCATGAAGCATAGCAATTAGCATTGTATGTCAATGTTTTCACTGAGCTGGGATTATCTTATAAGTTGACCACTCTCTTAACGATTATCAGTAACCTTTGTCCAGTCATGTCAGTGACAGTGGAAGCCTGCACTTGCCTGTACCTCGATTGGTTAAAATAATCCAAACATACTGTCCCCTTATTGGTTAAAATGATTCTGCATCTCGAAACCTGATTGGTTAAAACATACTGTACTGTGATTGGTTAAAAGAATCCAAACATTCTGTTCCTTATTGGGTAAAACAATTCTGCATCTCAAAACCTGATTGGTTAAAACATACTGTACTCTGATTGGTTAAAATAATTCTGCAAGTTAAAACGTGTTTGGTTGAAATGGTTCTGCAGTTATCTTTTTTACTGTTTTATCAGTTTATTATCCACCTTTGGCCTATAACAATGAAACATCCATGAAGTAGACAAGATAGCTTATCACATAGTCACCAGGTTACCTTAACAGTGTTTGTTTGATTATCTTATCAATTGAGCTCTCTCTTATCAGTTATCAGAAACCTTTGACCAGTTATATCAGTAACCATGTGACGTATGACATCATTTCTGTGCATTCAACTCAAACCTATGTTCTTTTATCAATATAACCTTTGTCCAGTTATATCAGAAACCATGGTAGTTATCTTTTCACTGTCTTATCAGTTTATTATCTCTCTCTTATCAATTATCAGTAACCTTTGGCTATCTTTTTCACTGTCTTATTAGTTTATTATCTCTCTCTTATCAATTATCAGTAACCTTTGACCAGTTATATCAGTAACCATGTGACCTATGACATCATTTCTGTGCATTCAACTCAAACCTATGTTCTTTTATCAATATAACCTTTGTCCAGTTATATCAGAAACCATGGTAGTTATCTTTTCACTGTCTTATCAGTTTATTATCTCTCTCTTATCAATTATCAGTAACCTTTGGCAATCTTTTTCACTGTCTTATCAGTTTATTATCCACCTTTGATCTGTAACAATGAAACACCCATGAAGTAGACAGATAGCTTATCACATAGTCACCAGGTTACCTTAACAGTGTTTGTTTGATTATATTATCAGTTATCAGAAACCTTTCACCAGTTATGTCACTCCAAGTGCACCATGTTATCACATGACCTCACTTCCGGTGGAACTGTAACGTGTGACCTATGACGTCACTTCCGGTGGAAGTGGAACGTGGAAGTGGAACAGTGCCGGTGCCGGTTGTAGGTCGAAAGTTGCAGCCTATACTACTAATGAAGTATAAAGTTTGAATGATGGCTGCCAATCCTCCTCGCTTCCCGTTATTATGGGATATAGATATCGGCAAGTATCCCGTTATTATGGAATATAGATATCGGCAAGCATCCCGTTATTATGGAATATAGATATCGGCAAGCATCCCGTTATTATGGATTATATATATCCGCAAGCATCCCGATGGGATATAGATATCGACAAGCATTCCGTTATTATGGAATATAGATATCGGCAAGCAACCCTTAGCTTGCAAATGAAACACAATCATTTGATGAGGAAAGAATATTTCTCAGTTGATGCTTTCATCTTTCAGTACTATCATAATATCAGTCACACAGTTACATCACAGACAGCCCGTTGAGTCAAGGAAAACAAACAAATGAAGTGCATTGCGTGAATTAGCAGGACAATGAACTAATGAAAAAATATAATCCTGAAACCCCATAGGTCTCTTCTATTACTTAACGAATGCAATGGCACTGTCCTTGCTAGGTGTGTAATTGCAAAATGAAATAATATAATTAATGTATTGTGTATTAGATTTCTCTACAAATTATCATGGCTAATGGAGTGCTGAAAGGGCTTTCTGATAATGAATGTGAGATTGTATGAGTAGGCATTGGGAATATTATAATGGTATTGTTATTAGCGATGGTCTAAAATATTTGAAAACTCCCTTTATAAGTGTTGCCACGAGCATCGATCTTATTGTTTAAACCCAGCACTGCTTTTATATCCACAAGTGTACCTTCATTCCGATAGTCCATCTGAGTCAGTTTACCGATTGTGACATTCTAGAGACTAAAATCTCAAGGATGCAAGATACGACAGATATCCTCATTGGAATGCCTCATTTACAAGTGAATTGATTATGATTAATTCAATTTGCATTTCTTTACATTTTCCAATTGAAATAATGATATTTAAGTTTGGTTCTGTCTGTCCCCCGCCATTTAAAAATGAATACACACACACAGAGACGGAAAGGATGCAACCAATGCTTTGATCCCACTTCTGACACCAGTGTAATGAACCTGGATGGATATATACGATTCTTACCTGTTCTAAACTGTACTAGTACGTCTAGAATATACAATATGTAACTGATTGCATCTAAGGGCAGCCACACGTGCACGTAATATTCCTGTAGGTCCCAGAACACAGATCGGGCAATGATGAGGAAGACGTTATACATGATGGCACATGATATCACAGCTAGCCAGTTATAGTAACCAGGATCCGAAGGATGAACAACCCAACTGCGGATTCTGAAACATGAAGCAAATGCACATTAATTGAGTAGTGGTATGATTGTTTTCTCTTTCAGAAGACAATTTTTGTTCACTATTTTTGAACAATAGTTCGGATTTATGACACAGTTGATATTTCTTTGAATCGCCAAACCTAAACGGACTTATAACATGCGATCCAGAATGGGACGTCCGGTTGCCAGACTTATAGTGGATGTATATTACTCTCGTATTCTTTTAAATACATCGATGCGGTTGCATCATTCCAACCCAGCCTCACTGATGTATGGAATACGAGAATCAGAAACTTACATGGAACTATATTGGTCAATATAGGACATTGGCACGTTTTCCATAATTGTGATTTATTTCATTGATTTGCTTAGCTCCTAGAAGTAATAATATCTTGCAAAATGAACTAAAAGAAATGATGAATGGCCTATTAAAACATGATTGTTTTTTGATATTATAAATACACAATTGATATATGTAAGATAATAATATATTGAGATATCAATATTTTGAATTGTGTGAGTCCATCTTTAAAAAATATTGTGTCTAATAACAGTGGTTTGTGAGCTTGTGCAAACTTCATGATTGGGTGAAATAAGAGCATCTGCGACCGGCCATATCTTATGATATGCGCAATTACACAGTGCATAATGAAGTGATACAAAATAAAACAGTAACATATTGTACCATAACTGTTGTTTATATTAGTATGTGCTGTCGAACTTAATGAACTCGCTGTATTAAGAGTGTATGAGTGTCAGACAAATTTATATACAATGAATTCTAATGAAGAAAATTACATAAATGTTTTCCCATGTCCAATAAATCCTGTCTAGTTCCATTTTAGAGATGATCACATGATCAAACGATTATACATATTCTATATCATTAACCCATAAAGAATATAAACGCTGTCACGTATGTGACAAATGATGTCCAAACTAATAAAACCATTCCCCGTTTCCACTAATACTGATATGTCTACTGTCACATCTAATTAATACTCTCTGGTCATATGAAAATTGTCAAACAAAATGCACAGTGAATAACATAGAGTTATACCATTACTAACTATACCGCCACACAAAATATCTACGCCCATGATATTGTCACACATACATACTGTGCAACCCAACTTAAGTGAATACGTAATAAAACCCAAGTGCATAATTGCACAGAATATGATATTGTATACACCGAGAACACACACTTCTAATTAAAAAGAACCAACATATGTTCCTCCAGGTTAATGTAAAACCACATCTAAAACAATTATAAAAAGATCAACATATAAAGCTCTACAGAATTATTTGTAATTAAGTAGACTGTTTCTATTTGATTGAGTAGTATTGCATAAAGGCCCTGTTTTCCCATTCATCTACTTCCTCACACAACCCATTCTAATGCAGTAGATGGCAAGGAGAGTTAGGGTCTTGATGCAACGCTACAAATGTGCTGATAAACCCTTATTGTATTCAGCTTAAATTCAAAACAGTCATCCATGTTTTCATAAATGAACTAGAAATATATTACAAGTTTGTCAGATGAAACAGATTGCATGGCGATATTGTATACTTATCTAGGGATGATATGTGTATGTTTCATTGTAAACATACTGCACATCTATAAGCGTCAGCATATATTAATGCGATAGTTTTTAATCACAATAATGTATGAAAATGTTAAGGAAGCTATAGAAAAAACTCTATTGTTCTGTATGAATTATTGCCATGCAACGTATCGATACTCTCAGAAAACACAAAGCTCGGAAGATTAAATCTGTCAATGGAAATATAAAACTGTTAGTTATTTCAAACACATGCAAGATATGGGTTGGTTTGTGCAGAATGTGCTCCAGAAATAGAAGGTAGACCATTTGATCTTGGGGGTTTACTCATTACGAAATACACATATTAATCAAAAAATTAATCAGCCTCTGTGGTTATGTTTCCTCTATGTCTTGCTGAGAACACTGTTGATAGATAGACAATTGACCATATTATCAAGTCACCGGGAAACGTTCGGGGAAACTCCTGGTTTTTAAAATGGTATAGGCCTTTCCCAGGATCTAATGGTCTACTTTAAGGTAAATAAAATATGGTCACCACAGTTATTCTTACAATTGATCAACAGCACGGCATCCACAGCATTTAACACTGAAAGTATAATAATTGCAACTGATGAGAGGGCACAATGTCGACATTTTTATGATTGATGAAGCTATATTTCAACCTCCGGAAAGCTTTTCCTGACACATTGTTCTGATACCACATATCTATGTTACATGTACATGAGTCACATAGCTTTAAATGTGATCAGAAAGCAAATCATGATCCTTTATATATCTGTTTCCATGTAAGGTAAAATAAATTGAACTTGATTTCCATAAAAATGAGGGCAATGATACACTTTCTGTGATTCTAGGATTAACAGCTGAAATTCTAGATAGTATGATTTGCACAGTATGCGTACCTAAAACGCCTTCCCATTCTCCTACAAGAATAACAATAATGCAAAAATATCATTTAATTACGCTAGCTTGAGGTATTAACGGATTAAATTATGGCATGATCCATCAAATAGTGAAGTAAATTTGTCATTCACATATTCACGCCCAATTATCTCATCCAATTTTATTAATGCTGAATTGACATCCATCTTCGTTCAAGAGGCTTCCAAAATAGATGCATCTTTCCATCAGTTTTATTGATTTCGCTTATTATCAGAATCATTTGAAGTTTATACACGTGAATAAACTTACTGTTTGGTACTTCCCATTTCTCTAATCATTCCTTTAAAGTTTAAATAAAGTAACCGATTTCATGGCATTTGTGAAATTTAGGGTGTAAACGATAGCTTTTTGTGTTAATTGCTTGATGGTTCTATGCTGCCTCCTTAAACCATAATAAATGTGATATTCGATTCACGAGATGGCCTATCTCAGAGGAAAATAGCTTGTTGTCAGTCCTTTGATGGTATTAGTGTCTACACTAAGCTGTGTTTACAGCTGCCGAATACAAAAAGTTAGAAGATCAAACATTGCGATTTTCAATGGCGACCTATGATTGCTAAAATGTCAGAGAATGAATAAATGTTTTCTCATCAAGCTTTTAAGTTGCATTGGTCCGATGGGATCGTTGCATGAGAAATTCCAGGATGAGCTCATTCTTGGGCTACTTAGGTTTTTCTTACAGTTATGTTTTGGCGAAATGTTCAGCCTCACATTAAGTGTTATTTATCGAGGAAACTGTCTCTCATTTTGAATTCAGGTTTCGTAATATGGTATAAGTTAATGAAAACATAAAATTAATGAAGTTCAGTGCGAAACCCGTATGCGAGGCATTTGATCATAACATCATCGAGGTAAACAGTGTAAACAATGTGCGATATTCTATTGCTCGCTGATGAGTGAAGAGGAAAGACGACGATTTGGCCCGCCATGGCCACGACGAATTCACTCCACACGATCCTTGATCCTTGACCCATCAAGGTATTACGTATGCCTGAAGGAATACACTGGTTTAACAGTATGGCCATGACTTTTCACTCCACACTCTTCATTATACATGGCCAACAGTAGTTGGAAAGTCAGGGTAAATCGGGATGGTAATATACAAATCTTTTTGACATGCCATAGTGATGTCATTGATCTGTCAGTGTTAAAGTAGACTGACTTAATGGTTTCCTTGGTGGTTAAGCCTCGCATTGTATGGTATTGAATAAGCAGTTAACAGTGCCATGTCACTAATGATGGGGTGTCGATTGATACGGCATGTCCTGGGTCTATATGGAAGTCAAACAGTGTTAAAAGGTTTATTTGTCTACATAATGTACCAGAAATAATGCAATGTCAGATGAGAGTCATACCAGTTAGTGTCTCTTCTAAAGTAATGTCATTTACAGCTTTGGAATAGATGGTTATTCAATTGATTGTTTCGCTTCACAAAGATTGGCTTTAAATCCAGTTTGCTAGTTATACATGCAAACTGGATTATGGTACCATCATTATGGGCTTGGATATCGAGTCAATGAATTCCTCATTATATCAAGTAATAAATATTTCGTCAATCATGATTTTGTTTTAGAATTGATCAGTGTTTTCAAATACAACGAGTAAGATGCTAAATATAATATTCTGATCACGACAGTCTAGATTTAACCCATTTATTATGCATTTTTCCGAGGCTGTCTTATCTAACATGTCAACTTGTTTGACAATTGCCAAGCCAAAGTAAATGCAGTCGATGATTTGTGCTGTAGAAGCTTACTACCTTGACATTTTCTTCATATATCTTGTTGATGGCTTTGCTGCAGAAATACGCACCTATGCATATCAATAGACCAGGGTTTGTTGCAAAAACGGACCCTTTTAATTCATCTCTTATCCTAGAATTAGTTAAGATGATGACACACACTTCCCAAGTGTTTTTTTCACGATGATCTCATGCTCAGTCACGGGGCTTGTACTTAAACGGTTTTTTATGGGCACGTGAATATTACAATATATTTGACTGATAAAGGAAACACAATTTAGGATATTAAAGGTGCAACAAGTAGTGCAGAGGGGCCATTCAACAATCATGGACCAGTGTCAAAATATATTTAAGTTTGGATATTTCATCAAGACTAACATCTATTTTTATTTTCTCCCCCCCCCCCAGATAATCATTATTTCAGCGTATATTCCTCTTGAAACATGGTGGATCTTAAAAATATAAAAGTGGACGTCCCCTTTTTGAAGCTTTTAACTGAATTTACACTTTCTAATGCCGAAATTGATAGTTTATCCATACATTTTAAGAAAAAAGGTATGTCGAAGAAGATGTTAAGCCAACTGTTGCCTTGATAGCTCAGAAAAAGTTAAAATTTTCCTATTTTCTCTCTACAAGCCGTATTGCCCCTTTAAGTACCACGAAAATAATAAGGAAACTAACACAAATATATCAACCAATGATCAAATGTACTAACGAACAATAGCTCATAAGCCTTTTACCACCACAGACATCCATAGGCACAATCCAAAACCAATAAATGGCTTCACGAACTTGACGATGCTCTACAACCCTTGTTCTCAACATAGGCGCAGCGACCAGAGGATAACATCTTCGCTACCTCTACTGTCAAAGATGGACCTCCGAGTCCACTTATTCATTCCTGCGAGTATTCGCCTCCCCTCCTGTATCTGAGAACGAGCTATTACATTGAACAGGCAAAAACCATCCAGAGTCCGATCCACGTTTAATCTAAGTGAAAAGCAACATGGATCGTGGATGTAAAGTCATGTGGATTTCAATCACGTGGATCCGCATGAATTTAAGAGTTCACGTGGGTTAACATTTATGAGAATTCAACGTGGATCCATTCCTTGTGGCATTGGTTCCACGAGAACATGGACTCGAACAAAGTTGTACTTGAACCACACCCACATAAAGCACAAAGTAGGAAACACCACCACAAAGACTATCATAAACGAAGAAGTGAACTGTTCAGAGATATTACTATGTTCTTTAAAGTGATGCCAATTGTACAAACCTACATCCAGGTAGCCATATCCACCTTTAAGGATGATTAAATGTGTTCAAAATGCGAATTTGATTATTAATCTATAGTAAAAGCCTATAGTCATACAACAGGGAACCCAAGGTAACAATGAACCCATATTTTATCGAGCAATACCTCATTAATCCTAATCCGTATTTTACGCTTTTCACACTCGAAGACAGCCAGAAAACCCCCATTGGAGAAATACTATGTTATTCTATGTGTACCGGTACAAATACATAACGTACCACAACTTTTTTACGAGTTGTGGTAGTCAAACACGCAGAATTACATATTTTGTTTGAACCGGTGTAAAAGGGTAGGAGGTCCTATCAAATTATGGTCCTACTCCTCATCGATTTATATGGTGACCTAAATACAACCCCTTCCCTTATTATCTTATACACAATCAGGGCCAATAAGGGCCATAATAAGGGACCATAATCCCCGGGGGACCATCATTTCTTTCACACCGGGAATCGAACCCGGGGCCAAGCGCTGGCGGTGACCTTGGCTCTGCAAATGAACCATTGCAGGTTTTCTTTTTTAAAGGAATCGCAATTTAAAATTCAACTGCTCATGTTGGTCAAATGCAGATGAGAATCGTGGACGACGTCAAAATATATTCAGCTCAATAAAGTTTTGATAGAATATACTGTGATTTTAAGCAACTCATCATTCACGAGCTGACCTTGTGGAATGGTGAGTATATTTTCAATTGATCAGTACACGATTTACAAGCATTTATAATGTCAAAGTTAGGATCTGTGTTGATTATCGCTATCTTATATAATATATTGGACAATGAACATCTGAATTTGTGATTGGTTTGTACAGTCACGCCAAAATGCTCATTTTGTCAGAATTTATTACTATTGATTTCCAGAACTATAGCTTACTTAATACATGTCTGAATATTCCTAACGCATTTCCAATTAATCATCATTTATATAACTTTCACAGTAAATGAATTCCCCAATAACCGGCTCATACAGGATGAGATATTGAAAAAAGAAGCTGGGTGAGAAATCTGAGACCAGGATGAGGTTTCCAGATGCTTTTAACGATCAATATGTTTAACTACTGTCCTAGCAACATATTCAAGATACTAAGTCGATTCTAATGTGGGACGATAGGTATTGTTTCTCTGTACGTTAGACCACCGCTTTGGATGTTGAAGGTTTATTTCTCAGCTGATGGCTTGTTCTATTCTTGTGTGTGTTTTTTACTAACCGTATTTTGCAACCACCAAATCGTGACATATTGTTATAGTCTCAAATTTCTTTATGGATGGTGGTTGGTGTTCGGCATTTGGCGTCTGTAACAAATGGCAGGTGGTGATTGTTCCCCTTGAAACTTTCGCTTACGCATATTCTACATACTATATGAATATCTAAGCACAAGCGCCAAAGAGAAGAGACTAAAAACCTAAGAACCCCAGCAAGAAAAGCAAACTCTAAGTTTCCCAAAACCATGATCTAACGTGAAAAGAAATGGTGCCTAACACTCCCTTCCTCCCAAACAAGAGTCAATATCAGTACCAGAACACCAAGGGACATTTTATTCATACCGAAGTCATTATAATACAAGTTGAAGAAAAAAATTGATCGCCAATACTCAACACATCAAAAATAGTTGTAGATACTAGTTCTCATAAAAATAGAGCATTCAGCCTCAAACGATGTGGGATAGAAGGCCATTCAAAGGGTCAACATCCCTTCGCTAAGCCGTCGCCATAATCCATAAAAGACAATAATTCACAATGGTCATCAGGGGAAATCTATGGCTGGTTTTCGATTCGAATTTCCGATCCCTATTTAACAACCTTTAGTGCCATAGCCGGATCCGCCTCAAAAGGTACCAAGTGAAAAAATGTGACTTCATTGCCAATTTCTTAAACAATTCCTACATCCTTCAGTATCTCAATTGGTAAAACTTCAAACATCGAAGTTAATGGCTTGTATTATACTTACAAATCAACTATCCTACGTCGTTTTGTCTTGAACTCTATTTTGTTTTCATTTTCGTCACCATCTGTTTTGTTGCTCATATCACCGTGCTCACTGGATTGTTTGGATGTGCTCGAATCGCTGCTGTCCACATCAACGGCGGATTCCTCTGCATTCTGTTGTTTCTCCCGAGCTTTGTTCCATGTTTTAAAATACTGAAAGCAACAAAAAGTAGAATGAGTACAGAATATGATTAAATTAGTTCTTTTACTCTTATTTAAACTTGCTTGTATGAACGGTTCTGAGCGAAGGGGTACCAACGTTTCCCTTCTTGATCCATCTTTTATGCTAGGCCTTAAAATGTCCTCGATGCTAAAGCTGTTCTGATGAATATATAGTTAATAATATGAAACTAAAACTAGAATTGATAAATTACTATTTTACGTATTTTTCATTAGAAATTGTGAAAACAAGACAATTTCTGATTATGACTCATTTCTATGTAAAAGTGCGATTTATCTTTGCACGGGCTAATTATTACTAGAAGTTTTTTAGCCCAAAGGAAATACGACCAGGCTGTATTTCTAATGGCGATTTGGTTTGTATCAAAAACTAGTATTCCTCATGAATGCTTCCAAACCAAACATGGTTTTCGTGACAAGAGACCAAAAACCAAAAAACTGTGAATAAAATATTATTTTGCTGAAGACATGAACACAGTGCCAATCGCCTTTTTATCACTATGATGTGTTCGTTTATGGTTGGTCAATTGAACCTAGATCTGACATGACATATTTATGGCACCTCCATCAATGCCTCGTGATAATAGTTCATTAATCCATAAAATACAATCATATAAAGCTGAAATTGAGAATTTCCTCCCATCCTTTATCCATTTAATTTTTTTGCTTATATTGTCTCTTACTATCTCTTCCAATATGGGAATGTATTTTTATATTAATTACACATTTCTTCACGCTAATCCAAACGTACGTAATCGGTACCTCATTTGTAGTTGTAATGTAACGATCCCCAGCACCCATTGTTCAAAACCACAAAAAATAGTTCAAATATTCATACGACTCGTATGCTAATCGTCCACCCATCGTTTGTTCATCCCCCCAGTGCTCGATGAAGCTGTTGTAGGCTCATAACTCCTAAGTCTTTTGCTTTTGATAACATATCGTTGATATTTTGGGTATGTATGGACAGTAAGTTTCTTATTTGATCAATAAATCTACCACTAATCAATGATAAAAACAATGCTAACTAATTGTCACTTAATTCAATCTTGATTTAACCTCATAGGAATTCGGGAAAGGACATACAGGTTCATTTGTATTCTGCTTTATAAACTCGATCTATTTCAGCCAAGTTGATTACAGCGACAAACACGTTACCAACACGATGATGAAAATTAATTGTGAGTTGTTTAGCCGTCTTAGGCGGCTATAAGATAATATATAAGTATACATAGAACAGCCCTAAATACTTATGTATACGGGTGTGTATGATTTACACCCAACCTCGGTGGATTATTTTGAAAGTCCATGTTTCCATATACATACTACGCCATTTTCAGTGTGATCTTTCGAATTCAGTTTTTGTAGTCAAATATACATGTACATGTAGTATTCCATCATTAACTCACAGCCAATGTCTTCGTAATGATTTAGTCGTCAAGCTAAATTTTATCTTGGCATTTAAAAAAAGAACACATAATTGGTCGGCAAAGAGAAACAGTGGAGGAATTCCTACACACGTTTTGATGATGTCATCTGGCTCACTACTCAATCCTCGAAGTGGAGAGATTCAAAGCATATTCAAGTTACCATCTTCAAAATAAGAAATCTCTGATATCCCTTGGTCATATGAGTCGACCACATGATTAGTTGACCAGTAAGTTTCAATGTAAGACAATGATCTCGAGATGATATATCACAGCCAAAACTGACTGGCTTATATTCTATATGGCTTAGCAAGAGCGACCAGCGGCAATTCTACTACTTACATGTGATTCAAATATCAAAATACGATTAAACTCCTTCTACTGTCATCTTATGTGAAATATACTCTTAGTATACAGGCATGTATGTAATGCCAGTTTATTCTTAGTATCCGTAGACTTACAGACGTATACAGAGACAAGCCTTACACACGTATCTTGTAATGCTTCACATAACTGATGGTTGTCTAGAAGCTTTAGAGCGTTATTAATACCATTAATATGATTAATAGTTATAAGGACCTTAAGACTACCAAAACGGGAAAATATGATGCATGGAGTTTAGTAACATGCTCTAACCAATGCACAGTTTCATATGTTTTATATAAACGACCGACGTGTATTGGGATGTGAGATCATCACGTAGTATTAACGTTGCCCCAACAGATTAACTTGTCCATTTACTCTTTAATTACTACAATGGCCTGTTAACTGATCATGGTCATATCAAGGGATTCACATGGAGAAATATCGGTTCCACGGGTACACGACACAGTTGGTTTCACTACTAACTTTATTCTATGCTTATTTGAATAGACTAGATGCGAGTAGAAAAAATCTTGATTTACGCCATTAAATATTCAAAATTCAGTCAAAGCGATGTTATATTTGAAATCTACATGTAAAAGTACATCTAGAAATATGGTTTCGAAAATTGTTCATCAATTTTGAAAATTTAATCAATTTTGAAAGTGTGATTTCTAGTTCGGGTTGATTCTCCATAGAGCCCATGTTACAAAATCACAAAAATTGAAATATCTTTTCTTGTATTGGTCAGATAACATTTTCATTTACTGGACATATTTTGATTTGCATAACTATTAGATTCATAAGGGTCATATGAAAATTGAACCACTAGAACAGATGTAATTTAAGTTAAAGGGAACTTTCTACTATACCCGCCATGCTATCTGACCCGAACGAGCCACCTGGTGGTGAAACTGGTAACTACCTACTCGCATCTGCGTTATTGAAATTTGTCCAAAATACGAACATGCTGCCTCCCATTGGATTGAGGATTTGAGCCCCCTACTCAATACTTATGTTTGTAATATATATCAGAAGTGGGTTGTTTCTTGCTTAAATCATTACCGAAGCATTGGGCCCGGTGCTAAATCCTTTTCACTCATGGCAAAACAGCTTTATAAATCGAAATAAAATTCAATTACAGACGGGAAGGTCAATTTGAAATATGGCCAATTTCCATTCAGTTTGTAGATGTCTATTCCGAAAAAAATCTCACTATAAATCTATTTTAATGCCAGGATATTCTACTTTTTGAAAGAAAATAATAGCAATATACTAGCAAGAAGGGGTGGACCGAACAGCCAAATTTAAATTATGAAATAGATGAGGGTAATCAATTTCATTGAAAGTAAAGCCATGCATCTGCTGAAAAATATAGAATTAGATGCATGTTTAAATACTGGACTCTGATTGACTTGAGTGTGACATGCACTCATCCCTATAGTTATGTATGAATAAATGATAAACTTGTAAAAATTGTATTTTCTTGGATGGCGTTAACTATTCAAGAGAACAGAATTCAAAATCAGACCTTATTAATGACAGTTACATAATGGCAGTAACAGTCCCATAGGAATTTGCATGGCACGAAATCATTAAATCGTGGATCCATGGAATGTATTTCTTACTATATCTAGTAGACATCATTATATGATTATAAAATACTTCATAGATTATTCTAACCGAGCAATCATCCTCCGATTAGGCGACATCAAATCATTCTCATGCGTTCTTTTGAATAATAAGTCTAACCTACTTCAGTGATTATTTCTCGTGAAATCACTTCACGTCACTTTCAGAATATTGATACTGCCTCGAGCAATACGAGGTATAGCTAGATTAGAAAATGAGTTGTCAGAATTCTGAATTACCCCAAGTGATTTGTCAGTGTGATAGATGTGTTTCAATGAGAGATGGCTATAATCAGATATAGGGATTCATGGTATGTTCTTCACTGGACATTTCCATCTACATGGAATAATTATGGGATTTGTTGTCACTTGATTGTGTCCTACCTTATATAGCTGTTAAATATTTTAACCGAACTCATTCCCTGTTTCGATAAAGGGTTAATTTAGATATAAAATATGGGTATACCCAGATGAAGGAAAGTAGTGATTCTTCAGTCTTTTGAAGATTCGATTGATCATAAGGATGCAAAACAGTAAAGGTTTATCCGGATATATTTTACAACGAACACAAAGCTTAAATAAGTTAAGACTCAGAATCTTAAACTGAAACCCTTTGTACACTTCTATCATCTTTCAAGTCTACCCGCATAACTCAGCGGGAGCACAGGTACCTCTTACGTAATAGGTCCCTGATTCGATCCCCGGTTCAGATAATACTAAATTGCTTTTTTGCGTTTAAAGTACTTCAGGGTGTTTTACTGAATGGTTAACAACTCGTACAAAAGGCTGTGTACCTGTAAGTCTATGTATATGTGCACATAAAAGAACACGGGGCTCCTTTCAGGAGGGGGTTCATCTCCCAGGCTAATTACGTTAATTTCGACCATATACAGGATATACCCAAGAGGTATTGCTTACCTTCATTGGTGGTAAACAAAATACAATACAATACAATACAATACAAACATGTCTGTCATCAGTTGTTAAAGGGTGACGCATATCGTTTAGCAAATCGAACGCTCGTTTCTGGTGTTGCTCACCATTTAGTAGAGGTGTCAAGTATTAACCGGTTAACCGGTTAACCGCCGATAATGCCTTGACCGGTCTGTGTTTTTATGGGCGGTTAGTTGACCGTGTATAATTCTATTATTTCCCGCGCTTATTTTGCATGCTAATCCGTTTGGTTTATGGTGTCAGTTTCACGTAAGCTACTCATACATGTCATAAGTCCGATAACTCCTTACAAACATCCAATCAGCAACTTTAATCCCTGCCACATTGGTTTCCCGCGCTTACTTTGCATTTTAATCTGTTTGTTTTTCAAGCGTCAGTTTCATGTGAGCTACTCATACATGTGATAGGTCCGATAATTCCTTACAAACATCCAATCAGCAACTTTAATCCATGCCACATTGCTTTCCCGCGCTTACTTACATAGAATAGAGTAAAGCTTGACGAACGTAAAAAATAAACGCCGATGTATCATTTTTCCAATTTTTTTCAACTTTCAAGATCGAAGATGAAGATTTCATTTGAAATTATCAGTTCAAATTTCCCGCCTGTTAACCGACTTTAACCGGTAAAAACCCCCGGTTAACCGGTTAATGCTCAAGCGGTTAATTGACACCACTACCATTTACTATAAAAGGCTCGATCCCGGAATAATACTCAAGGGTTCAAAGGCTCGAGGTCGTTGTGTCAACATCTCTAACCTTTATATAACATTGGTACAGTTTAGATCGTCACACATTTATAAAAGGGAGATTTTCATTTTAACAAATATACGGGAAGCTTATCGGGACCCTTTAACCTTGATAAAATACCATCATATTTCTAACAAAGCACTGACATACTATATAATTACTATTTTGTAACAAGTCAGAATGTGTCTCCGGGGGATTCGAGTACAATGAGAGATTAATAGTTGAACGAACGTCGGCATGGTGGTATTTACTGCATTCGTCTCATTTCCCTTAAATACTTTCAGAATTGCAAACCCCAAGATATATTACAGTATCGTATAGACCAGACGTATCAATTAAGCGCTCAAATGGCAATCCTCTCATTTGGGACTGAATAGTTTACGTTCCTTTATGGCTCTGAACTTAGAGGGTTAGTTGTTAATTGGTTTGAATACATCAAAATGCCTCGTTCAATTTGAACCAGAGAGTTTTTTATAGAGGAAAGGTTTCAGTTTAAATGACCAAGTAGATGTATCAGTACTGCACATGTTGTCTTTTGATTGAATGGGGTCGAGGTCTATTAGGGAATTGATTCCCCATTGCTTTAGATGGTCACTTTCCAAAATGTGTAACATGAGGTGGTTTGCTCGAAACCAATCAGATATATGCAATTCTATCATGCAGTTATAATGCAAGGGAGGACTAGTTTGAAAGTCTTCCTATCAGCTATCATGAGAAAGCATGGTCTTCTATAAGCTCCTCTCTAGAAAGATAGTTCGAGTTGAAGTCAGAACGATGGGATGAGT